TTAGCATGCATACGACAAACCCAAAATAGTCTCAAGAGTAGAACTACAGTGTTGCTATAATCTTTCCTGCAAATTATGAAGTGTGAAATAGAAAGCTGAAAAAAATAAAAAATTAAATATTGATAACAACATGTCAAAATTACAACAGTAAAAGTAAGAAAATAAACTCCTTGGCTGTCATCTGTCTAGTGCCTTTTTGTAAACTACTCTGATGCAATAACATCTTTTCTTTTCTATTGTAATTCCAAGTTTGCTATTCAATAACACCCCAGGAAAAGCTCAGATTATACTGCTCATAAAATTGAAACAATGATAAACTGTAAGGTCAGTTTAAATTATGAGGTGGGGTTATGTTTTGATTTTAAGATTTACAGATGCATTTGAGAAGTTACTGTAGGAAATTGCCATTGAAAACATCACATCAGGGGAAAAAAGAAAAAAAATATACCAACCTAATTTTTCATGAGATTCAATCAGAAGTACAACACAAATACAGTTTTTCATATTTTACCTTATAATTTTTCCAACTCTATTTTTTTATTCATGGCATTCTTTCATTTAGTAAGTGATGTGCACATAAGGTATTGTCTGATACTCAACTTTTAATTACTACAATAAAAAGCACCACCAAAGCAATATAGAAAAAATAATCACAGTCATTACCACCAGTATGTCTAAAATAGCAAACATTGATGGATATTGGACCTGAAAATATCAGTGCAGCACATTATCTATCTATTATATACAACAGAAAAAGTACAAATATACAGCAGAAAATATACAGTAGAAAAAGTGCTAAGGGAACAACCATCTACCAAAAAAAAAAGTCACCAACACCATTTCTAGATTTTCTCTTTCGCACCACAAGAATAGCAGGATCTAGACTCACATCAAACTGAAAACCCTCCTCCTGGGCTCACTTTGAGCCAACGAGTTCATTTCAGCACTCAAACCAAGATTTGCCCTGAGTTTACACCCTACTGTTCCATCCTCCTTTCCTCTACCTAAGATTCTCTTTTCTCTTCTCTGTTCAGCTTTTCACTCCCATCTGCCTTATGTCACTTGAATTTCAGTGCTTTCCTAACAGCCTGTAACTGGTCATTCAACAACATGAAACCAGGAAAAGAGAAAATTGCAGATCTGTTGCAAAAAGGTTCTGTACATAAATGCTCCTTAAGAATGATCATTCTCTTTTCATGGATTTTTAAACCACAAGTTACCTTATTTTCCAATGTTTTATATTTTTCAGAAGAACACAATTTGCAGTTCAACTTTAAAGAAAAACAAAAACCAGAAGAAGTCAACCCTGAAAGAGTTGTTGCTTCAAGGTCACTACTTAAACATGACCAGCCCCTAAGCTTTACTCTGGAGATAGAAATACTGTAGGCTTAGAAAAGAACATTGCAACTGATGAAAAAAGATCCTTTTGAGAAGTTTGCCTGATGTCTCAGAATAAATAGTTACAAGATTTAATCAAAGAAAAAATAAGCATTGAGGACCAGTGCTGTATCCCCTATAGCTCACACCTTGCATCCCCACAGATGATTCTCTCTCCAAAGCTGGCACATGGCATCAGAGGTGATCTGTATTTCTAACTGGCCTTTTACATTTGCATGTATCAAAAAAAAATAATTACTTAGATCTCACAACCAGCACATCATGTTGAGTACCAATCTGATGACAGATTTCTATTACAAATTCAGAATTGATCTGTCTAAAGAAGAGATGGCCACATCTAGACAGCAGCAAAAACTACAAGATACACGTAAGAATATACAATATACAAGTATAATACTACAAGTAAGAATTTAGAGCCCAATCAGACTTCTGAAAATATAAGTGTTTATAAAATATCAGTAAGGTGTTTTGTTAGGAAGAATGTCAGTATATCAAGTAAAACATGGAACTTAATGAGCTTCCATTATTTCAATTTATCTGTAAGCATTCCAAGCCTGCTAATATTTCAAGGTTCACAGCATTTTGGTTTAAGATAAAATTAAATCATACAAAATCTACAAGCACAGAAAATGGTCACAAGCTTTGTGAATGGATTTGAATGGGAGCAATTTTTAGAGATTAAGCTTCCTCTGTGCTACTTGGAGATGACAAAATAGATTTATTGAGACAAAAAAAATTGCTAGGGGTATGGTTTGTTTTTTGTTTTTAAAGTTTAAGTTGTGATAGGATCTCAATATTTTTAAAAAACAGTCATCTTTTAGAGTTGAACTGCTCTTTCATAACCCTTGAGCTGTATCAAGGAAAAAGCTTTAACAGTACTTTCAATAAATTCAGAGGTATCAGCATCATGAGTTCCCTCTAATATTGCTAGGCATAAATGGGTAAAGTCTCATGCCAAGTAATGTCTTGCTTTATGCTGGTATCCTGCAAATATGAAACCATATCAGAGTACAAATTTCTCTTGAAATATAGATTCTTGTTACTTCCTCTCAGGATGAACACCTAGCAGGTTATTGATCTGCTTCTGAAGGACACAGTGTTTATTATGTAGAAAACCACTGCTGGGCACAAGTGTGAGAAATTAATGATGGTTTTGTAAGTGTCCACACTGTGGTGCTGAACCAGTGGGGCAACTGTCAATCTATATGATAATGTATCCCAAAACTTCATAAAATCAGTGATGTGAAGAAGCATTGATTTTTGAGCTAACCAGGGTTTGTGAGAGAGTAAGGCTAAGAAGTTTACTGAAGTTAACACCTCTGTGTACACAACAGTTGCTTCATACTTGCGTGATGTTTTTTTAAAAACAACCAAACACACAGAAACTCTTCTCACAGAAACTCAAAATGAATTCCACATACTGGCTTATTACTTGCTTGCTGTTTGATCATGTTGTTCTTTCTCCTATTAATATCATTGTTAGAAACATGAAAAATGGATTCGCTGCACTGTATTTCCAATTACTGAATAATTCACTTATTATGGGGAGGAAAATGAAAAACAAGTGAACAGACTCATTCTTTTATCAGTCTGTGACAGTGTGTATAAAAGTGGGTTCTGGGATCATTATGTTTTCTTAGACAAAAGGTGTGACACACTGCTGCCACTGAAATGGAGACAACCACCTGCACAGAAGTGAATTCCTGCTACAGCACTGAAGGCCAATCATTCCATAATGCCAGAATTCTATTAGTCAGGTTTTTAATTTGAAATTATGCTCAGAAGCCCTAACAAAACTGTATTAAAATCAATGGAAGTTGTCATATTTTCTGTGAATGGTATTATTAAAAGGAAAAATCAATTAACCAGTCACTGATTCTTTTCAAAACATGGGCTTCCTTGTACAAACCATTATTAGTAAATGCATATACCCTCCTTAGTTTTGATGAAGAAATGTATCCTGCAATGCCTATGGAGAGGATATATTACTAGAAGATTCAATTTAAATCAACAAAAAAAGACTGTTGTTACAAACAAAATCAATTGCACTTTGCTGAACTTCTTCCTATCAACACATAAACTGTAATTTTGCCCTGTTTGCTTTGACAAGCAGTTGCTTGTATTTTCAGAGCCTGGCACACCCACTTTGTTGAACCAAGAAAACTGTCAGTGAGTACAGGGAGGAGCTCTAAATAAACACCTACAAAAATGCTCTTCTGAGAGGTACCCACCATGTAGCAAACAGAATTTTACCCCAATATGCTTAGCAGAGAGCTGGTGTCACGCTGCTGGAACAGTTGCTCTGAGGGTTGATGATGTTAAGGAGGTTCCTCTTCACCTCCTCAGAATGACAAGATCCAAACCCCTTTGTTTCTATTTTAACTAAGCTGCGTTTACACTTTCATCACCCTATAGGATGGAGGTCAAATTCCTGAAAATCCTTTTTTACTATTTTCCATCTTGAGTTCTTTAAACCTAGTTGAATCCAGAAAATTCCCCAGGTAAGAACTTGAGGGTGAGCCACACCAAGGACCTGAATTTGGATGTGTGCACCTGAGAGGACAGTGCTGAACACAGGACACTCAGACTCCACTTCTCCTGCCAGGCTATTTGGTCACAAGCGACTGGTGCTGAGCCTGAAGTCTCATTTCTGAGAACACTAAACACAAGTGTTCTGCCCAATGCATAGATTTGCTTTGCAAAAGCCGCCCCAGTACCAGTAAAAAAAGAGCAAAAGAATTGTTTTTACAACTTCAAAACCATGGAAAAAATACCTAAAATTAAATCTGATTGTTACGAATTAGCATCATTGTTACAGCTATCAGCACATTGTGGATTATTAATATTACTTCAAGCTGTGTAGAAAAATCACATAGAAAAACTATTTCTCTTTGGAAATTTCTTTCTGCTTCTCATCATTAAGTTTAATTTAAGATACTCGGAGCACAAACTTCTGTGACAGATTATGGCATGAGAAGTAAATTGTAAGATCACACATAATATCTATCATATGATGCACATATACTAGTTTCCTGATAGTGATGCCAAAAAAACCCAAAACTATTGTAAAAGCAGGCAACCCTGACGAGGGCAGAGAATGATGAGGAGGACTCCATCTTAAGAGAAGGCTAATTTATTACACTATATTATATTAAAGAAGACTATACTATATTATACTAAAGAATACAGAAAATATACTTCCTGAATGCTAAAAAGATAATAATGAAAACTCATGACTCTTTGCAGAGTCACGACACAGCTTGGCCCTGATTGGCCAATGAGTCAGAACAACTCACACCAGAGTCCAATCAAGCAATCACCTGTGGGTAAACAATCCCCAAACACATTCCATGTGAGCACAACACAGGAGAAGCAAATGAGATATGAATTTTTTTCCTTTTCTCTGAGGTGTCTCGCTGCCTTTCAGGAGGAAAACCCTGGGTGAAGGGACCATGCTCAGAGAATGTGAATGCGCACAAAACACGTTAAAAACCAGCTTTAGGCAAACTGAGAAGGAGCAAACTTCACCTTTGAAAGCAGACTGGTGTATTTTTAATAAGTTAGGAATAGCAGATTGGGAATATACTGAAGCAAAACCCTACCGTTCTCCTCGTCTGACTTGTTCTCGTTGTCGGAGTCGGTGAGCGTGAGAGCCGAGTTCTCCCGGCTCGACAGGCCAGAGCTCCTCCTGGATTTGATGCCTCTGCCCCAGAGCCTGATGGCGTGCTCCGGGGACATCCCTCCCTCCGTGTCCGAGTCGTTGTCGGAGCCTGTGCTCAGGGAATAGCCCTGGTGCAGGATCCCTATGTCCGAGCAGTACCCGCTCCGGTGCGGAGACGGCTCGCAGATCCCCAGTTCTGCCAGGGTGAAGTTTGTTCCTAGAAGGACAAGTGAAAAAATAAAAATTAAGTCATTTAAAAAGCTAGGGGATTTATTTTCAGCTTGAACATATAAGATCTCTTTTTAGTTTTGCTCAGTTCTGCTGTATACCAATGAATTACTTAGAGAACTCTCTGGTGCAATGGTATAGCAAGTCTTAACCTTAAAAATATTGAATGTATCTTAAAAGGATGAAATATACAAAATAAAGGTAGGAAAGGTCTCTAAATTCTAGGCTACTCTTTTGCTCCCAAATAATTAATCACTTAATTCACATAAACCTCATGACAAGTGCTAATAACACGACCTGCTTTAGTGTGTATGTAACCTCATATTTGTAGGACAGAGAATGAGCTTTGAAGTCATCCATCTGATTACTCAAAAAGAGATTTTTTTTTTAAAAAATGAAGCTCATTTTCATATACACAAGTCATTCTCAGAGGTAGTGAAAGAATGCAAATCTATCAGTGAGAAAACATGGAACTTTGTCACTAGTTTTGTATTTACATTTGGTGCAAATGGTAATTTAATATCTGATAAAGAAACCAAGACAGACCTTACATTGTAACTGTTTTCTTTTTCCCCCATATTCCAGAAGAAAGAATGAATCGATACCAAAATCAGAAGGTCATTTGGTTTAAAGGCAAAACTTTCTGAGACAATGTCAAAACACGTGACCTTTAGCAGTTAATAACGACTCAGTGGACAAAATCTTATACATTTTTAAAGCACACAGAGGCCCCCAGGGTTCTCAGAAAGTCCAGAGTTGCTGCCTGATTTCTGCTTATGTACTTGTTTCCTACAGTAATGAACAGGGCAGTAAAAAAATAAAGGGAAATATTCACTGGTCTCTAAGGCTTTCAAAGATTTTGAAAAGCAAAGTAATTTGAGCTTCATTACATTGGGTTAAAAACAAAAACCAGACTGAAGTTGCTGGCAATATAACTGCTAATTATTTAACTAATTCCTTAATTCACAGGGAAACCAGATCAGTGATCTGTGTTTCTAAAACAGTAGTTTTATTTAGCCCAAAATCTGTTTCTATTTTTTCCTCTTCCTCTACATATTTGTCAGAATGAAGCTAAACAATGGAAGTTCAAACACTAAATAAAACACACAAATGTCTTCTACTAATAAGAAGGTAACTAGATTTTTAAGTATTAGAACTTCTTTCTCAGATTAGCCATGAAAGCTCATAGAGTTTTAAATCCATCTGGCTCCCCTTTCTGTATCAGCTCTCTCCAGTCTCATATCTGACTACCAAAGCACATTTTGGATAAGGGGTGTGTGCACACGTGTAAAATGTAAAACTTGGGCCCAGTTTAAATTTATTCCTGAAGCTCATCATTTAAAGGAAGGGGATTGATTTCTTCTGGAAGCCTGACCTATATCCTCAGCCAGCAATGACCAGGCTTGGGTGTGGCTCTGTTAGCCTGAGGTCAAACAGCCCCACAGTGACACTGGCCACATCCAGGGGAAGAATTCTCACCAGACAATGCTTCTCAAGGAATGCAACATTTAGTGGCAATGTGTAAAAAGAATATAGAAAGTCTGACATTAAAAAAGCCAGCTCCAAATTAACCCAAACCCATCTAGTTAGGAGCATATTTTATCTGCCTTCTAATATTTAATGTAGTAATCAGAAATTTAGTGGTTTATACAAAAGCAAGGAACTTAACAGTTCTAAAACTGAGCTACTCAAGTGCACTTCAGTCTAGAGATTTTTTGCTTGTGGTTGTCTTTTTGTCCTTTTTTTTTTTTAATAAGTGAAGAGTTCTAGCATGACAGATAAAGTACTGTTAAGGAAACTGTAAACTTTAATCATGTGCAATTGCAGTAGAAGACATTTAACATAATCAGTTTGATTGATTAGGGTTTTGCTTCAGCCATATTAGCAAACTAAGCTTAGACTTATTAAGAAAAAGGTCAAAATCAAACCAAAATGAATATAAAAAATGGACTGAACTGAATCATAGTAGCCCACCTCAGGTAATGTTGACATTAGATACATGCTAAAACTACTAAACTCATAATGAAAATGAAGTTTTCAAATTTTCTTGTTTGCTGGTGGCATGTCTACAAATACACACAAATTATGAATATATTAGCTTAATGGAGCTGTTGTACATACACAGTAAAGCATTTTGATTATATTCTTTGGATTTTAACAGCCCTTACAAGCACAGATGATTTCACTTTGATTAGCATCCTGTTCTTACTTTGTCTGAGGAAAGTGGTATAGGCACTGAAATACACTATTCACAAAACACATTCACCCATTTGAGTTTTATTATGTGGGAACTTGGCATTTTCCAGTAACTGACAAAATTTTTAAAAATTGAGAAGTGGATCATATCAAGAGCACAAATGGAATCAGCCCCTGAACCCCTGGGAAAGGATTTTCTATGCTGCTTCTCAGAAATCCCTTTATAGTCTTATGACCTGATGGCAGACTTGAAATATTCTAGAAATTTCCCCATCTAGTAAAGACATGTTCTTTGCTGGTAGATTTTAAATTAGTTTTATATTCTAACTGTTGGCATTTGCTTCTGCAAAATATTATTTGAGACTTTTCTGTAAGGCAGCATATCATGGCAGAATAACTTGTCATTGGATAATAATTTTTTAACATCTACATATCTACATATATAAAGTAGGGTTTCAGATATGCATTTTACATCTAAAAATAGAAACATGTATCTCTATGATTCCTGATACTTTCATAGCCCTTAATTGACTAAAATCTGAGGAAAGGAAGTTGGAAATACTACAGTTATATTCTCTAGACCTTTTCTTATTCTGGACCATGTTCTCCTACATGCCCTGTTTTCCTAAAATGAAACTGCCCACATGTCTTGAATAACATATGAACTGCTTCCACTAACATATTCTTCTCTCATTTACTCAGCCATTAGTGCACATTAAGGTACTAATGCCATCACTAGACCACCAGTAGACCTTGTATATTCACATAGAGGATGAACAAAATCTGGATGCACAGAAATAATATGTCCAGTAATTCACAGAATAAGCTGAGTGGGAAGGGGATCAGAGTCCAACTCCTGCCTTGCACAGGACAGCCCAACCTTCACACCCTGTGCCTGGGAGCATTGTCCAAACACCTCCTGAACTCTGTCAGGCTGGTGCTGTGACCTCTTCCCTGGGGACCCTATTCCTGTGCCAAACAATCCCCTGGGTGAAGAATCTTTTTCTAATATCCAACCTAAACCTCCTGACAACTTCAGGCCCTTCCCTCGGGTCCTGCCATGCCTCACCATAGAGAAGAGATCAGTGTCTGACCCTCCTCTTCCCCTCACAAGAAAGGAGACTTTCTGTACCTTGCTGTATATGGAACAAGGTCTCTCCTCATTCTCCTCTTCTCCAAGAGACCAAGCGCCCTCAGCAGCTCCTCACATGGCTCCCCATCAAAGCCCTTCCCCATCCTGGCTCCCCCCCTTTGGGCACCCTACTATTACTTTGCAGATGAAGCATAGTCTCATGAAAGATAAAAAAAATACCTAAATCATTCCATATCCACTCAGCCCACCAGAATACTCCATGTATTGAATATATATAATATAAATGGTATATATATAATACTGCTGATGACAAAGTTCAGCAAGAACAACCCAGCCCTCCTTGCCCCAGTGCCAGCACAAACCACAGCACTCAAGAACTGCAGAGAGGAAAGGCAGGCACAGCCTGGTCAGGGCTAAAGGTTTAGTGTCTCCTTCAAGGAGCATCATCCTTACAGCTCTATTGATAGTGGGAGCCCAGGCATAGCAAGACCTTGTAGGGGACAAGCAGGGCAGCAGTGCCATGCCCTGGCCAGTCCGACTGCTCTGCTGTGTGCCCACAGACAGAACGCTGGGCCACAAGCCAGACTGCAATGCCAGCAGGCCAGGGTGGCTTCTTACAGTGTGAGACAGCACTCCCTACACCTGGGGCTTGCAGGGAGCTGAGAGGAACTGAACTGCCCCTCCCTGGAATGTCACTTGCAAAGCAGGACTGAAATGTGCAGGCAGAATCCATTCTTGCACACTGAAAGCTTTTTTTCACATTCTTGTAGCGTCTATTACTTTGCTGGTGAAACTAAGAGAAAAGAGATGGGTAACGTCGGATCCTTATTTGTGGAAAAGAAAGAAACTCCTTTGCCTTGAAGAACACAGCACCAAAAATAGAAAGTCACAAGGTTTTTGCTTTTTCACATGAAACAGAGCTTAGTATCTCCACCCTCAGTCGCTTCATCCCCTCCTGCAGAAACCACTAGATGGTTTTCATTAAAGGAAGGCAGTTAAACCCAGCTGCTCCCTTAAGGTGTACATAATCTCTCATACAAAAACAGATCAGCAGTATTCTAGTTTAGCAGTGTAATATAATGTTATGTACTTGATCATCATTGCCCATAATCTACACACTGTGAATACTCTCTCAATAGAATAGATGTTTTCCTTTAAATGAGGACATTACTTCTATTATCTCTTTAGTGCACTTCCTTGTACAGAAATTTACTGTTTCAGTTATTTAGGATATAAACACTTACTAACAGTGTGTTGAATTTAGTGATGTACTACTGTATTCATTATCCCTGCTAAGTCTAGAAAACATCACCATTTAAGCAAAGGTTACTTTCACCTAACCCCTAGGCAAAGGTCTCATTTGGCTGATCACAAACTGCATGAATTGCCCCTCTGAAGATTAATCTAATCCAGCTGTGATCGCTACAAGATGCCTCAGAGGAAGATCTCTGAAACCAGTAATGCACAGATAAGATAAATCTGCCTTCAACACGACATCAAGTTCAAGACTGAGCTAAGTCTAAAATCAAAAGAATAAATATAATTCATAGTCTTTGCTACTACAATGTTACAGAAAGTAAGAATAACAAAAATATATTGATTTAAGACATTCCATCCTTTGTCAAGTTTTTGATATGTTCACAGCTATAATGATTTTGCTGGCAGGAGTTCCACAATTTAGGTCTAATCTCTGGAAGAGG